TTGTTTTTGAAAGCACAATTCGCGTTGATAATAGTTCCTGGGATTTCCCTCTTAGAAGAACCTTTCACCCACAGGATGATCTAAGGGACACTGTCGGGGCCAAAGGCCAAAATAGGGTGTAACAAGGGCCCCAAAACCGGCTTGGCCGACGTGTACACCCGAGGCGCACGAGTTTTCGCGGCATTGTAGAGGTTGTAGAAGTTGCACTATTCACAATGGAACCCACATCTTGCACGCAAACAGCCTACTGTAGCCAGCTGTATGCAGTAGCGCGCACATTCGAACAGCTCGTACAAATTCCCCTTCAATACAACTTCTGTTCTGTTGTCGTTCCCGTGAAACTTCTATTCTATTTCTTTTTTCAGTCTACACTATAATTATGAGGCTTTTTTTCATTCTGAGAGTTAGTTCTGGATTTTTCGTGCACCAAATTTCTTTCAGCTGGTGGACGAACAGCGTTCTTCGGTACTCCACGAGAATGTATCGAATTTTTCGAGCAGTGTGGCCATCCTTGCCCTCACAATTATAACCCTGCTGACTTGATTATACACACACTTGCGGTGGCGCCTCACGAAGAGGAAGCTTGTCGTGTACGAATCACGACCATCTGTGATAGCTTCGAGAACGGGTACGGATCATTATTACGCCAAATGTGTGGGAAGTCTGGTATTTCCTTTTTAGGACCTATGGGAAGGCTCTGCGTTCAGAACTCGATAAAGTGACGTCTGCGGTGGTGCCACGAGGGCGTCGAAGAGTGAACTTCGGCATCCAAGTTGCTGCTCTTCTTCATAGGTTTGTTGAAGCAGCCCATCAAGTTTTCACCGTATGTGGGCGAGGATAATGAGAACCTATTCAGGTACTTTTTGGATAACCTGAGAAATCCTACGCTCGCTAGGGCGAAGTTTCTGCAAAAGTTCGTCATGGGTATCTTCGTAGGACTACTTTACCTTCAGGCTAGTTTATTCTCTTCTTTCTTCAATACTGTCCGGATACGTGCTCATTGTTTAGACACCTCTGACCTTCATCGGGATTGGCAACATTAACGGTGCGCTGTTCTACCTCGTCTGCGAGTTGACGTATGCTTCTCTATTCGGAATTCTTACCTGTATACCTGTTGATTACCCATTGGTAGTGCGAGAGTACCATGACGGTATATACTACGTAATAAGGTAAGAGCTTGTGTCTTATGCATAACTTCACTGGTATTACTGGTCTTTTACAGCTACTTCATAGCTCGTACACTTTCCTACTTGCCATTGTTCAGTCTTGATGGTCTACTGATGATGTATGTATGCTACTGGATGGTTGGCTTTTCTAGCTCTGTCACACAGGTAGGAGAAAGTTAATAGTAGTTCGTCCCCTATCTTCTACCCAGGACTAGCCTGGTTCCTCCGTATCTCGCTTTGCAACAAGCAGATTCCTGGAAACCGCCTCTTAGTCAGCTCGGGGTTCTTCAGCATTCCTAGTTGGGGAGTGGAAGAGGCACGTCGATCAGCATGAGCTGGTGCGTTTCGCTATCCTCACCCTCAGATAGCGGGGCTTAGTGCTGTGAATTTTGCGATACTTGAGAAAACATGTTTCGGCTCAATACGTATTCGAACGTTCGGTAACATCGATTATGTGGGGCCAAGTGCCACCCCTTGGCCCCACATAATCGATGTTTGTCACTGGCGTTCTCTATGAGGTTGCTCGGTTTCCCTACTGTTCATTTGCGTTCTTGGCAGTGTGGTGTTTCATTAGGCTTTCCGATCAGTTCATGTGTTCGAGGTCCCCTTAGTTCTTGAGAAAAATGATCCTTTTTCCTGCCTTCGATTCTTGAAGATTTAACTTTTATTCAGGTGCTCTTTGCTACTATAATCAGTCTTCTCATAGAGCAGTCATCATGTGCCTTCGGTATGATGCTCGCGTGCGTCGCGCCTAACTATCCGGTAAAGTGAAATGTGCTAATCCATTGAATACTAAACGAAAAATGATGGAGATTTTCAGGTAGGAGCATCTGTTGCTGGTCCAATTCTCACTCTGCTTTCCCTTACTGGTGGATTGTACGCAAATGTTGGCTCTTTGCCCGTATACATCAGTTGGATACAGTACCTCAGTTGGTTCAGGTATACAGGTGATTTTACTAGATTGCAGTGGAAACAAGTATCCATCTGCTTTTCAAGATATGGATTCGAGGCCCTTGCCATCAACCAGTGGAATGAAGTGAACGACGCCAATTCTACACGTTGGAATAACCAGGTAATAGCAGTAGAGCATGACTTTATATCGCTCCTAACTCGCTGCTGCGGTCTCCTTAACCATCTCTGACTGGACGCGCTCGTCTACCGTAGCAGACGTGACCAAGAAAAAAAACTTTGTTCTTCACCATAGAGGGGGAAAATCGTCACGAAACACGCCAGTCCTGATGGTGGCGGTCAAGCAATACTACTCCTTTGTATAATATGAATCGCCACCTCGTTAAAGCATCCCTCTCTCTCTGGAACGTGTCACATCATTCAATCACATCTCAACAACTTATGGATATTGTTTCGGTGACAAATCTGATAGCGAGCAAAAGAACTTCTAGAGTTTATATTATAAGCGGCATATCTTGAAGGCACTGTTCACGAAAAGTGGTTTCGGAGATTTGCACATGGATTGAATTCGAAGCCCCCTTTGATGCCATTTGTGCAGGAATGAAGTCGGAAAACGGCTGGATAGGGCACAATAAGGACAGGAACAGTGGGGGACGGGAGGCCTCCGCCCCTCGCTAGGATGACTACGAGTTCTAATTGCCCTTCACCACATTCGCACTGGAGCGAAGTTGGTGAAAAGTCGATAGTGCGCTCGCCCGAACACTCCCTAACCGCCGTTCTTTCAATGTGAAACTCATCCAACCCCCCTTTCCAGCTCTTTTTTTGACCCTTTGTAATTCTTTTTGTTCATCGTTTTTTGCGCTTTTTTCGTTGTTACCGCTTCATTCTGGAGTAGTTCTATCAATTCCCGTCAAAAAAGGGTACCCTAACTTTTTTGTGAACGGTGCCTTTAACTGGCTTAAAGGTCATACTTCATGCTATAATATTTCTATCGGGCATTTTGTAAGAGCTTCCTCGATTCATTGAATCTATGTCAGTATTTGTGCTACATCACGAATTGCCTCAAATTGAGAGCTCAGTACCGAATGAAACTAATGAACCTACTTTTCAAGTCGCTTCTATCGATAGCACCTACTTATTTAACTACAGAATTGCAGAAGTTAATGTTGGAAGGGTTAGGTTCAGCGAACAAAATTTTGAAATATTAATTGTATGCTTCTTGATAAGGGTGGTTGAGTGGGAAAGGGGGCAGCACGTGATGTTTTCGTCGAGTCATTTTAGGTACAAAATGTGCTCTATGACTTCATCATATGTCATGCCGCCGTGATGAATTACCTCAGAGTCGTTTTAGAGTCATGTGAATGTTATATTTTCACTGAAGTGAACGTTGACGGGTGATGTCGTTTACTGTAGAGTGATGTCAACACTCGAGCATACACTGATTCTTTTCTTATTTATGCAGTAGGGGTAGAAAGTACCCAACAACTACTTTGGCTGTAACTTTTGACTCTTTACCAACTGAATGACACAGAGTTCTATTGTGTTATTCCTAAGGGTAAGGGTTTCTGGAGGGACCACAAAATTTTGGTTCTGTTTGTAGAGAGTTACTTGTTTATATGCAGAATTTTTACTGCGAACCTTGTACGTATTGGAATACAGTTGTTTTTTGAGTTATTTGAATGCTTTGCGTGATTTTCTCCCTCCATTTGGATCGAGTTATGAACTGATACAAAGAATATCAAGCTCTGCTGTGCTCATATGTAATCTGATGGTCTTGCCCTATGCCCAACTTTGAACGTTTGACGAATTTGAACTTTGAAGACTGACTAGCAGACAATACAGAAACGTACAGACAGAAATACAGACAACTGGCTGAATGACTGATTGACTGACAGACAGACTGACAGACAGACTGACAGACAGACAGGCAGAAATGTTTCATTTATAGTTAGGATGTGTACCCCTGAAAGTCGAAATTTCTTGTATCTAACCAAAGTAACTTCGAAACAGTGATTCTCCTAAACTCGGAGGTGATTTCTTCCTCGAGACTGGATTTTATTTCCATCTCATACAGAATCCAAAAAGGGTTCTTGAACCGAATTTCGATAAACTTTGCTATGCGTTTGGGGGCGACTATAACCATTGGTATGTTTCTGTCTTGGGGTAATAGTGTTTTTCTCGGTTTTGTAACTTGTTCTTTGCTATCTATTCTGAAAACAACTGATATTTTGCAGAGACGAGACGAGGTGCTGGCTCAGTACTCATTTAAGGCTGATCGTTTCATTCTTGACCAACTGCTGATGGTGGCATTCATTTTCGTTTTCTATTTAATTGGCTACATTGGATTGTCAATTAGGATTTATCGATCACGATAGTCCTCGCTCTCCTTGCCCCTTTGCTTTCTTCTTAATGCTTTCTTTAATACTGTACCTACTAGAACTTTAAATTGATTGCATTTGTTGTCAAAGATCTCTTACGTAGTGTCTCAATATTATCACTGTATACTTGAATAAAAATTAACTATTTTGCTGTGGTTTTGGTGAAATTTTGTGATCATTAGGAAGACCATTTATACAGCATCGCGATTTGCGCTTGAGTTTAAAGCCAAACCTTTTCAAAAGGTTGGTATTGTGATTAGGTGGCAAACAGGTTTGATCATTGGGGTTTTGGAAAGCTTCATGCAATTATAAGAGCCTAGTCGATAGCCATTTTGAGAAGGAACGATTTCTTCAACGCACTCGCGCTGAAGTATAAATGGGAACGAAATGCCAATCAAAACTGACTAATTGTATTTGTAGGTTGGCGAAGGTGACCAGCTCGAGTCTGAACTCACTTTGGCGCGCATTTCGTGGAAAAAAGTGGAATCCTCTACGGCATCGAACAGATACGGTATGTTTTTCAAGGGATATGTAAGTATTTTTCCCGTACCTGTAAAAAGGACCTACTCTTTGACTAATCATCTTACCAAAAACGTTTAAGTAGTGCCAATTACGAAGATTAGCGGAGATATCTTAAAGTACACAGTGTCTCAATTTCACTGATCATTTAAGTGGCAGGTGGGAAGAGGTTGTACGTTCAGGATTCGTCACCTCACCTGGGCGATGTACCATTTCCATTCAATAACCTGTCAGATAGAGGAAGTTCTGCCACACTTAATGCTGCTTTATGCACGAAGAAATGAGCATTGTAGGGGTAGTGGGCTGATCCGCCCATGTATTTTGTTCGGTACTTGAGAAAATTGATGATGAAGTGGCAGTTCTTCATGTTTTGTTGCCTTTGCAGGTTCGATTGAATACAAGGCAGCAATTCATAACTACATTGTTGTTTACTATTCTTCTATTTCTACTGCCCACTGTCGTCGTTTATTTTATCGTATTCAAAGCGGTACGTTTTTGCTATTGCTTTCTACTGTACATATGAGTCGATCTTTTTTTTTTTTTCGAAATGGATTTTCTCCTAAGGATTCAAATGATTTCGTATGTCGTACACTATTCGAAAGATAATTGTATGCATAAAAAAATGTTTCGCCCAAGGAGAGACGAAAAAGTACTTCCTTATTAAAACTAACTCAGTCTCTATACTCCAGTGCAAGAAGGCAAACAAGGATGTACACTTTGTATACTTACGACCTTACGACCTCTTCCAACCATTCCACATCTCAATTCTCGAGGACACCCTGTGGCTTTTCTGTGCCAAGTTTGATTCCCGCCAACGTCTTAAGTTTTCCGCTGAACCATGGCGATAGAATCGAAGATTTCTACCGCTCGAGCATTAAAGTTTGTAGTGTCATGAGAGATGTCTTACTGAAGTTGTGAGTGGCCTGGACGAATGATTTGGTCAACCATTCGAAGAAGATTTAATGTACTGTCGTCATTCTTGTCGGCTGGACATTATCACGTGGGTCTTAAATTCGACATACATCAGCTGAATTGAACCGAAACATATATTCGGATAATGTTGGGAAAGGCTCTCGAACGGCATGAAATTTTAGGAATTTTAGCAGATAAAAAGTGAAAGCTTTGAAAATTGCCATGGACAAGCAGTGGATTTCGAAAAAAGACGACAGGGACTGTTGATCGTCTCGATGTGTTGTCTAGAAGTCGTGACTAAATGAACAGTCCAACAGGGGTTCATTTTTTCCAATGAAGAATATAAACTGCGTCAGTTGCCAGTTTAGCTAAATTTCTTCGACTGGTTTGGCCTTCATCAACTGCCTCGTCAACCTGAAATTAATCTTGAACCGTTTCGGGTAAATATTTCCGCAGCAAATTTTATTCAAAGCAGATGAATGTTTTTTGAAAGCTATAGGCTGTGATCTGGAAGCAGAATTTCACACGGAAAATTTACTTTGGAAAGAGATCGAACTTACGTGACAACACATTATTCCAGTTTTTTCAGCACTTGTGTGGATACGTTAATTTCAGCTGCGATTGTCGGTCATGACGCTCCAGAAGGTCACCACTCAGTTGGCACTTCACCGCCAGTACTCCATCCCGTCAGTGGACTACGTTTTCTCGCGTTTTCAGCAATAAACCGGTTGTGTATAAAGAAATATGTACAAATTTCGAGCTACCTTACGTTTGAGCAATCAACCGTGGCGGTGTGCTAGGTAGAAAAAATTTCACCACGTGATCGTTGCAATTCTAGTCACCTGCCTGTGGAGCAACTTTGCTCATTTAACTTGTTGCTCCGGTTACGATGACAATGGTCTCCAGTATTTCAACTTGGACGAGCCTGTGACATCCAAGTATGTCATAGGGGCGTTGTCGGGTTAACACGCCCTTGATAGAAGTCAATAAGAGCTCAGAGATCCGCTTCGTCAGTCTCCACACTGAGAAGCGCACTAGTTTTCACGTCGTTGTAGAGGCTGTACCATTCGTAGTGTTCTGAAACTTCAAACACTAGTCGGACCCACGTAGGCAGCGTAAGGCACGTTTGGGCATTAAAGGCACTGTTCACGAAAAAGTGTTTTCGGAGATTTGCATATAGTTTGAATTCGAAGCCCCCTCTGATACCATTTGTGCAGGAATGAGGTCGGAAAACGGCTGGATAGGGCACAATAAGAGCAGGAACAGTGGGTGACGGGGGCCTCCGCCCCTCGCTAGGCTGACTATGAGTTCTGAATTGTCCTTCACCACATTCGCACTGGAGCGAAGTTGGTGAGAAGTCGATAAGCTGGTTGGCAAATTGCCAGAAACGCAATGTGTTGTCTGCTACNACTGCAGACAACACATTGCGTTTCTGGCAATTTGCCAACCAGCTTATCGACTTCTCACCAACACTCGCCCGAACACTCCCTAACCGCCGTTCTTTCAATGTGAAACTCGTCCAACCCCCCTTTCCAGCTCCTTTTTTGACCCTTTTTAATTCTTTCTGTTCATCGTTTTTTGCGCTTTTTTCGTTGTTATCGCTTTATTCTAGAGTAGTTCTATCAATTCCCGTCAAAAAAGGGTACCCTAACTTTTTTGTGAACGGTGCCTTTGAAGGCTAACTGTAGCCAGCTCTGCACAGTTGCAACTACTGGAATCTTGTCCTAATACCCCTTCAATGCCATTACCATCTTAGTAGTGTCGTACAACTTCCTAATCCTCAGATTTCAGAGAGTTTGCAGATTTTTCGCTTCCTAGGCCATCACTTCTCTCCACTTGCACTTCCACTGTTCTTCCTGAAAAAAGCATTTCTGTAAACCGTGAACTGTGCTTTTAAGCTCAAATGCAAGGAATTGATGGGTATTGGAAATAGGAACTTGAAACTGACCACAACAGCTGTGAAAAAGCTAGTCAACAACAAAAATATGGAAGCATGACCGCAAAAATTGTTGGGGCCGAAGACATGAACTGGCTGATCAAGGTGATAGATTGTTGGAGTCGAGAAAAAGACGGAATGCAAGCAAAGGAGTCGAATGAATTGGAAAGAAGTTAATCGAAAAAAATGGGGACAATTCCTGGAGAAGACTATCCTGCAATATATGCTTTGCAAAGTGTGTCTGTTCGTTTGTCGGTGTTTGTGTGTATGTATGTATGCGTGTGCGTAGGTGTGCGTTTGACCGGAAATTCATAACTCCATTCCTATGAACCTAGAGCGTTAAAATCCGGTAAGAGTACAGGCGGCAGGATGGGGACAATCGCGGCAGGTAGCAGGACCACACTCCGCCCACAGGGAGGAGGAGGGGGGGGGGGGGGGGGGGGGGGGGGGCAGCACCTTTGCTGAACGCAGAAGGTTTGATGATTGAGCATAAGGGAAAAATTTTCCTTCTTGTTCTAACCTAAACATAAGGGAATGAGGGTACGTAAGTGTGGGGGAGTGTGAGAACGTGAGGAAGAGAGGAATGAAGAGTGATAAACGAATAGTTGACAGGAAAAGACCAAGTGTATAAAAGGGCTGTAGGCGTCTGAGGAGTAAACATTTTTCACCTCTCCCCATTCTGAGTACCACTACAGCATGTACGAAAAAAGCCAGAGAAAAAGCTAGCAGCGACTTGTTGGAAGATTTGTAGAGTAGGCCGCAAAGCCTTCTACCGTGTTCTTTGCTGGGAGAGGCCCGCCGGACAGCGGTGAAGAGTTGGTAAGACAGAACGTGAAGTTGCAAAGTTGCCGTATTTTTTGTAGTAGAGCTACTAGTAGCGATTCAGTGTGTAGATGAAGAAGCGAAGCACCTCTTCCATGGCAAAGTTCAACCCTGTCAGTATTGCCTTACCTTTTCGAAATCGAACCACGTTCAGCGTTGAGACCTACGTAGAGACTACGTTATAAGAAATGTGCGAAATAAAGCGGCAAAATAGAGCTCGCTAATTGGGCCACATCGCTATAGTCGAGCTCAAGTAAGGTGGAAAAAAATAGTCTGGAACTATTGACAGATTACACTCGACCCTCAGGTACTCATTAAGCATTACCCATTGCCTAGGCGAGATCACGTGTTTCACATGCGTGGTTGTTAGAATTTTCAAGATTGGGCTTCTCAAATGGTATATGCAAGTTTGACCGTGAGAAAGTACAGACAATCATATCACCATCAGCACATATGAAGGTTCACTTTATCGGTCGCATCCACCGAAAATGGTCGATTGCAGTACAGCTCTCCACCTACTCCGACGATCATTTCCAACTCCGGTATTCGATTTTGCTATACCTCACTGGTAGCTCTGCCTGAACTCGTCTTTATTACGGCCACCATCATTTGACTGAGAGAGTTCTTAACGATCGGAACAGCTAAGCTATGAAAATCGTCACAAAAAACTTCGATGATATTATAATATTATCGAAGTTTTTCGTTACTATTTTCGTAGCTGTTTCGATCGCCAGTAGCATCACCAAACCTAACAACTAGCTTTCGGCCAAGATAATTTCACCCGGAAGCTGGTTATTAGGCCTGGTGATGCTACTTAAAGGCACAGTTCACGAAAAAATGGTTTCGGAGATTTGCACATGGTTTGTATTTGACGCCCCTCTGATACCAATTGCGCAGGAATGAGGTCGGAAAACGGTCTGGGTAGGGCACAATAAGGGGCCGGAGAGTGAGCCACGGTCGCCCTCCGCCCCTCGCTGGGCTGACTACGAAATCTAATTGCCGTTCACCACTTTCGCATTGGAGCGAAGTTGGTGAAAAATCGATAAGCTGGTTGGCAAATTGCCAGAGACGGTAAGCTGGTCGACCGCCTCCTTCTGGAACAATTACTCGGCTGTACTTCTACTATTCGACTAATGTTCTGCTCTTTTCCGTTCTAGTAAATTGTTCTCAGCCGTCATCAAAAGGATCAGGCACAATAATCTCAAAATCTTAATATCGTCAGTAGAATAAATAATGTTAACGAAGAAGCCAAAATCAGCCGCTTGAGCGTGTTGTGTGCAGCGTGGCAGACATTACGTCGCATTCGTCTACTCGCCTGAAAATTCCCTTAGCCGCCGTTTTCCCATTATGAAACTCGTCCAACCCCTTTTTCTCTTTTTTTTGACCGTTTATATTTCTTTTTTTCGCTGTTTTTCGCGTTTTATGCTTTACCATTGTCCTAATGTAGGCCTTACCTATCACTATCTCTGAAATACCGGATACCCCTAAATTATCGTGAAAGGTGCCTTTAAGCGCAAGTCCCTCGGCCGAATTCAAGGAATAAAAGTCCACAGTTGCATTGTTTATTTTCTCGTAGGAAGGTTTATGACGCATGTATGGTATTCATGTTGCTGGCCAGTATTGCTGGGATAGGTGCATCCAAATCTCATGCAAAGTTGGAATTTAGAACCAGAGGTGAACTTGTGGAAATTACATATGCAATGTCGAAAATCAACATTAGACTTTACAACTTTACTTGCCCAGCCGGTACTACTTTTATATCTCTCAAGTCGAATGTGGCACTCACCATTTCCATGTTTGCACTTTTAAAGCTCCCTGCTAAGAAAAAGCTATTGTCGTTGTGTACTAGTGCTTGTGTTGTCAGTTATAGCAGTTGTTTCCCACTGTTGTCTTGTGCAACGTCTTCAATAAATAAATAAATAAATAATGTCTCAACACAAAGCACGAGTCCGCTGATCTAACAAGTTTGAGAAAGGATCTTTGAATACAGGACAACTGAATATCCGATGCCGAAGTATCGAAAATGCCAATGTCTGAGTTTCTTAGTGCTATGTTGAACCGGATAAGACCAAATTATGGCGTATTTCAATGCACTGATGTGCAGAGAACCTTTCAAAGCCAGTCCTATTGTAAATATCATTTCAAATGAAATGAGGTTGTTTGTTATGTTGTTCACCGTGGCAATATATATCACTGCAGCATAGAATAGAGCTGCAGTAGAGCACAATTTCGTTGTGTTTCTCTTCATCTATTCTCCAACCTTCTCGTTCTCCCGCTACATTCAATAAATTCACGATGACCAGTAAGGGAACACGCAGCACAGAGGGGCCAATGTAAGTGCAATACTGCTACTAATATGGTATCCTGACAGAAACGCCAAAAAGTGAAGAAACTGCCAAAAATTCTTGTAGCTGCCTTTCTCTTTCACTTCAACTCGAAAGGTGGATTCTATGACAGCTACGAGGTGAGGTGTTCCAATATGGGCACGAATCGTCTCGCGATAACTTTCAAGACGCTTTCATGTCTGCTCAACCAAACCCAGGAGAAAACCAGCTTCAATTAGCTATAAAAGCTGATTAGAAAGGCAATATCAATGACACTAATCGAGATGCAAAGTGTCGAAAAAGCCATGAACCTACAATGCGAAGCAGTTGATAACACAGGCGGATCCCCCTTGAGACTGGACCTTTTGAAACGAATAGAGGAATAAATTGGTGCCGCACAGAAGCTCCTAGGACGACCAAAGTGATGATTTGAGGAAACTCCTAGAACTCCAAGATGTAGTAGAGTCGGTAGAGAAAAGCAACGTATCCTTTTAACATTCCAAAGTCACACGCAAGTCAATACCAATACCCAAATTCGATGAAGACATTCGGAAGTTGGAACCTTTTCTGACACTTTCGAACGTGGCCTCCATTCTCAGGACATTGACAACATTCTGGATCTAGAAGCTTCTATCGCTTCGCCAAGAGGTGGTCATCACCCGTCAATCCTTGCGATTTCTTCAACGATGCAAGACGATCGATATTACGCCACATCTCATTAAGAATATGAAGGTCAATGTGTTATGTGAATATAATGATGATCACCCATTAGTTTTGGTAATTATTCGTTCCGCCTTGGGTGCAGTGATTGAGAAGAAACAATATGTTTTGAATTTGGCATCAATGAAATGTACTTTCAAAGAACAAGCATGCCGGCATCTCCTACCCAAAGTGACTTGGAGAAGAGTTTAGAGTGGGTCAAGGTTGATTTGCTCCTCTATTCGGTCCGATGCCAAGTCTTCCCTTCGTACGAAGTATGGCAGACTTCTGAGAGAACATCGCGGAAATTTACGTTACGTTGAGAATAGCTCATCCATAAACCATCGCCGGGATAATATGAATGCTCGCAATAGTGATATAACTACAAGACTCACTGTTGTTGGTGGCACTCACGTATCCTCGAATGACGCTTGACTTTCTCACTCTCGGTCCATCATTCTCACCTGCACGCAGCATCAATACAAAGCATTCCGTAAAGTTGTCGGAGACCTGGAAAGACTTCGAGATCCACTGCGTTGCAAACATCATGGCGATAATATTCTGCAGACTGCCGTATCAAACCACAGACCACTTCCACATGTACCGTTTCCACGTGCTCTTTACAGAGAGACCGATCCCACACCAGAAGTGGATGTCAATTTGAGAAATACATGTCATTGGCATTCCGTCTGCTCTAAATCAGAAGAAAAGAATTCTCTGCAATGGTTCAAGGAATTACGTGAGCTGAGATCTAACTGCGCTCTACGTGTCGCTGTTAGTGATAAGGGAAGCGAATTCAGGATATGACTTATGTGATATGACTCGACCTTCGACATTGGTAGCGTGCGGTTGATATATTGGCGCTCTGGTGAAAATCGCCATCCCTTGTAGCTGGGGAGTTTATAAGTCAAGAAAAAGGCCACCAAAGGAGGTCTATTTTCCGGATTTCTCTTTTTAGCGCCTCGATGGCGTACTCTTCTATCAATTTTATATTGCGAAATTTTTTGTGGCAGAAGTCGAAATCGAGTCAAACTATTGCCACCATTGAAGGTCATATTGAGCATATCGTCTTCAGGTAATGGCTCAAGGAACTCCTAAATTTGGAACTGATTGGTGGCTGCTGAAGACAAGGATGTATTGAATGCCATACAACTACTCAGCGATAGCTGCTGTGTTCCTGCTCATGTCAAAGTAATGCTGGTCTATTTGTTGGAAAACCTCCTACGCAGGGAATTTGAGTTATCCAACATGGAAAAACGTGAAACCGTTGGAAGAAAGCATGGCTTTGAAAAGACAGGGCAACGAGACCATAATTGAGTTGTCTACCCCTTCCAGCCCTATCATATCCCTCACGCCACACCTGCTGTTTTTGTTTACGTCTTCTCTTTCCGATAATCCTAACCAACTATCTTCCTACGCTTTCCACTTTCTCAAAAGTCAGTCGTTCTAGGTCGCTTTCTCTTCGACCGCCGCGATAACGGCTCTTCGGCGAGCTCACTGTTCCTTTTGGAGGTCCTCTTTCCCATTCTCCTCAACAGCCCCTCATCTGCCAATTCCCAAGGGATACCCCTTTTCTTCGTCTGATTAGCATGGGTTTTCCTTACCCCCATGCCGTGATGGACCTCATACGCTTGTTCCTAAGTTTTAACTACGAAACCGGTTATCTACCGATCTCCCGACCCGGTGTAATTTCTCATAAATACTTCTTGCCCCACGCTGAATAGCCGTCCTTTTTTCCCTACATCATAATTTTTTCATCTCTGCACGATATCTGTTCGAGGGCACAACGCGTTATTTTCCGATCTTATTATATCGAGAATGGTTCTTAGGCTTCTTCCCATTAGAAGCCGGGACAGCAACAGCAGCATCGGAGGAGCCGCTGACACCGGCGCTAGCAATTGTGCCGGTGGTATAGGCACTGTAGTCGGCATTACGAGAGACTCGGAAGGATCTCCAGAAGATGGAAGGCGGAGAACATTCGAGGAACCGTTTGGGGTCTGGAGGCCGCTCTGGCCGAAGACGAAGATCAGGAAGCCACAGATGATGTCAAGTCGAAGATCTCGAATTCCGAACCCGACCCGCGGGTGCTTGAGAAGTGTGGCTTGAGAAAGCTCTAGTGAGGGTAGTGTTTGATAATAAATATTTTTAAGATAGTGTTGGTGTCAAGAAACACTGGTGGGTGAGGAGGAGGTAAACATAAGGTTGAATCTCCTCACCCGTAGGGGTAACGCCCAGTACCTTGAGTGACCGTAGGGTCACTAGGGGGAGGGTGTAAGTGAACGTGCGAGAGTGAAGAATGAAGAAGGACCAGAGGACAGGCATGATAGTGGGAGAGTGTGTATATAAAGGTGCTACACTCTCAAATAAATCATTCCATCTACAGTGTTTGTTCTGGCATCGTTACTGCGTTTGCGGCACTGTCACTGAGAAGAACCACTCCCAAATTGAAAAAGAAGCTTTTGAACTTGTGTTTGCTGTAAAAAAACCACAAGTACCTGTTTGGAAGAAAATTTCTCCTGTTAATCAATGTCAATCATAAGCCACCACTGGCAATCTTTAGAGACAAGACAGAAGTTACTGTTCATTCCGCTAATTGACTCATGAGATGGGCGACCATATTGTTGGGATATGATTTCGACATCGAATATGTCAACACCAAGCAACTTGGGCAAGTAGATGGCTTGTCGAGGTTGATGCAGAAGGACCCAGTAGCAACTGAAGATATGGTAATCGCAGCGGTGGACAAAAATATCTCCATCCTATTGAAAGAATGCATCAGAAATTTGCCGCTGAGTCGTGAACACGTCCGAATTAGCACTGGAAGAGATCCACTTCTCAGAAGTGTCAAGTCGTGTGGGAACTGTGGAAGATGTCAGCGTGAGTCAGTTAAAATCTGGCACCATTCTTCAACAGAAGATAGACACTATCGCTCGTAGGAGATTGTCTCATGACGGGAGGAAGAGTTGTGATTCCGAAGGAACTGCGAACGAATATTCTCGAGGAACTACACGTCGGTCATCTTGGAATTGTAAGAATGAAAAAACTGGGCTCGAAGCTGTGTATTGGCCAAATATTGATGAAGTCTGTGAAAATGCAGTGCGAAACTACTCGAAATGTCAAGAAAAACAACACATTATGATTCTGACTAAGGAATGTTTAGAGTGCAATATAATCAGGTGGTGCGGTAGGTACTACTCTCAAAAAAAGGTTGGCTATGGGTCAGCGTTCGGCTCCAGTACTCGCTATCTGCTTCCTGAGCGAATCGAAGATTCAGTGCTTGAGTCACTGCCCATGAGGTGTTGAGATACATAGATGATTGTTTCATTGTGGCAACGCAGTCCGGAATGGATGAGTGTTGCCGACTAATGAACCAGTAGATCGAGCTCACAAGAGATGTTCCGCGGGATGGTTGGCTTCTCTTTCTGAACCAGCAGGTGGAAATGTCTGATGGCATGCTCAGTGTCAAGTGGTACAGGAAAGCAAGCTGCGAAAACAGCTTGAGTCACGCCACATCCTCGTACCTTGATGAACGCAATCATCAGGAACAGAACGGCTGCAAACGTGTGCACAGGAGCCACAAAACGGCAAGAACCTATACTACTGGCTTCTGATATAGCTGCTTAGAATAGTCATATTGTATCACGAACGACATCGCAGAAGACTTAGCACTGAGCAATATCATTAATAGCTTAACAGCAGCAATGATTTCGCTTTAGCGAGCGTTCCTAATGACAGCATCAAATGCCAGCTTGTTAATTCTATGATCGGTAGTTCATATTAGACCATTGCTTTACAAGTCCAAACGGTCCAATTGTAGATTGCGTTAGAAAGGTCATGATTTATTGGGTTGAATGTTAGGCGTGTAACGCAACAGACATTGAAGGAACTAGGAGGACCCTAGCCATACGCGTTGAAGAACAACTTGCGCTTGAAAGCTGCGGCAAAATAGCGATACCGCTAGCAAGCATTTGACTGGAGAGAAGGAAACGACTTTGATGAAAATAACAAAACTAGCATACGAAACTGAGATTGCCGCCAGAAAAGGCGCTAGGGGCGTTCTGGATTTACATGCGGAATCCCAGAAAGAACAGTCGCTATGAGTGTCCACCTTCCATAAGCAATGTCTTGCCGTTACGCCCCATTGTGACTACTAGCGTAAACGCTGAGACGTGCAGATCAACAGCTATTATACAAATATCTCGCAAAAAGTCTCAATTACTAACCATAACTGACTCGGAGTTGCGCTGTTCCCCTCTTGCGGTGGTGGACTAGGTGAGTTTATTTTCCTCGTTTGTGTTTCTCCGTTTGTTCTACCTAACGTTCCATCAGAAACGCTAGAGAGAGGCGGTTAAGAGGAAGTCTTTCATGCCTTGAGCTACGTTTGGACCTCTGAAAAAGACGCTCGCTCAAAACGTCAGGACACTAAAAGTTTCATTGTGTGTGTAGTGGCCTCAATGTAGTGCTTCGTCTTTCTTTGATTTAGTAAGAGGTCTCGGTGTTTTCCTGATCAAGGATTTTAAATGGAGAGCTGATATTGACAAAATTCACAGCAAAGCAATGATATTCATACGCTGCCTCTTCGAAATATACATGCCTAGATATAATAACATGGAAAAGGCCTTCAAAAAGTCCACACTCGGTTTAGTTGAATACTTCAGCTCTGGGCCTTTTCTCATAGTGTTATCAAAAAAGAAAAATAGGGAACATTAAAGAGATTCACAAGATTGCATTGCATGTTCTTTATTGCTTGCTCCCAACTATCTACCACCCCATGTTCATATGTATAAAGTTCGCCTCAAGNTTGAGGGCTTTGTACTACAGGAGAATCCAGCCAGATTTTTCTTGGCATTCGAAATTCCAAGAGATGAACTAGGACTCATTAAACTATTGGGTTTCCATTCCAGTGAATGGTGGGCATGGTAATGTTCCAGATGTTATTCGATTCACTCAAAACTGTCTCTGTGAATTGAGCAGTACAAACATGATGATAAAAATGGAGATTCTTGAAGATGTTGGACGTTTGTGATACTGCTTGACAAAGTATTAGGTTGTAGGGAGAGTTCTTGCCGTTTCGGCACCCATATGAGTTCAAATTTTAGCGGCTGTCAAATTAGACCAATCGACGTATTACGCTCATCAGTTAAACCATTAGTTGCTCCTTTTGTCGGAGCTTTTGCTTCAGAATTAAATAAGGTTTTTGAAATCTTCGAGACATTCTCTCCCGGAATGGAGAAGGCCCTTCTAAAACGGTTTCAGCTAATGGGCGCAAGCTGGGTCGAACTACGGAAGACATCCACAAAACATCAACGTTGCATGGGGAGCGGTCCTTGCGTCGATGCGTACGGTTCGTTTCGGTTTAAACAGTTTAGAAATGGAGATGAGTGACTGGAAGGCCACGAGCGAGTTGTTCGACCATCTTTGTCCATCACGATGCTTTGCTTGGAGCTTCGTCAAAGAAGATCGACGCCAACCTTTGATAGAGATTACCAACCACATAAGAGTTCCACATAAAGTCGTCGATGACCACCTCAAGCAGCTTGGGATGGTGAAGAAACAAGACATGTGGATGCCAGATTATTTCCTGGAGCAACAGCAATTGGGGCGCCCAAAAATTTCAAGTTTCTCGCTGAAGAGAAATGATATTGAGCCATTTCTTCATCGAATGTAACATTTAATGTAAAATGGATCATATATGACGACAAAAACGTTTTGGTCGGTGGTTGGGTGTAGATGAGCCTCCAAAAACTTTTTCCATGCCAATCTTACACATAACGAAGACCGTCATCACTTTGGTGATTCAGACATAGCTTAATCTGCCGCTCGTTTCGTCGTCCGATCAAACCATTCCAGCGTAGTCTTACTGTGATCGACTTTACGAAGGTTGCCTTTTATATTTTGAGATTTGGCAACACTAGTGTAGCAATCTAGCAACTGACACCACTATCATAAAGTGTGACTATTTTGAGGTTACGTTGCAAAATTTGAGCGCGATTTGTACTGTTTACACTAAGTTATAAGATTTTGATTAGGCCAAGTTATGGGGTTGAATCGTGAGCATTTTCGCGCGAGTGTTTTCTACAACTTTCGACGTGGACTAGCTCAACAGCAATGCATGGATGAACTTGGTTCAATTTTTGGTAATGAAGCTCCATCCAGGGCCAGTGTTTATCGATGGTACAGCGAGACAGGTGATGGATTATGGATTTATGCGTATGAGCCCGAAAGGAAACAGCAGTCGACCGTATGGGTATTTCAAGATGAGCCAAATCCAACAAAAGCTGTCCACGCGCCAAGCACTTCCGAGCAATTGATCTCCTGTTTTTTTGGAAAGACTGGACATGTCGCAACTGTACCACTAGAACAGGCAGAACAGTCAATTCTGAGTGGAATACCACCATTTGTTTGCCAGTTGACTTCCAAAAAATTAGGAAAACCAACTGCTGAAGACGGATCACTCTTCACCACGACAATGCGAGCTCCCACACATCGGCTCAAACAACTGTATTTTTGAGCGCTCAAAACAACGATTCGATGAGCCATCAGCCATATAGTGCCCGGGTGGCTTCTGCTCACCCCGTAAGTAAAAAATAAAATGAGAGGTCAACGTTTTTCGATACCTGAAGAAGCCGTTGATGCGTTCAGAATCCATGTTTTAGAGTTACCTACATCAAAGTGGTAAAAGTACTTGGAAAATTGGTTCGAGCCCATGCAAAAGAGTATAGATCTTAATGTGGACAATTTGAAAGGCAGCAAAACGATTTTCAATAAACAGTATTTGTTTCTGTTCTCAAATCTCAAAATATAAAAGGCAACCTACGTACGAGATGCACACTAAACTGAGGCTATTGCAGCTACCACTACAGAATCGCCTGCTTTTGCACGGCATTGCGCGACCGCATGTCTCACAAATCGCCCTCCAGGAGTTGAAGGAGTCACGGATCGAAGCCTTGCTTTGCTCACCCTACTCATCAGACCTTTCGACAACTCACTCACATTTATTCAAGCATTTGGATAACTTTTCAAAGGATCAAGAGTTCAAAGATCAAAGCCAAATGGGAGCTGCCTTTCTCTAATACTTGGAATCCAGATCATGATCACCGAACACCATTAGTCTGTCACTATTTGCAATTGCAGTCCTTCCATTTACTGACTATTGATACGAGCTGCGAGTGATCACCTGAGAAAGTGTTCGGGCGGGCCATACTCTTTGATGAACCCACCACAGCATGATACATGTCCTCTCTTTTTATTCTGTGTGTGACAATCTAGAGTGGTGTGTTAGCAATGCGGTATATAAGCCCATCACCGTGCGCATAAATAAACATATAAGTAAACTTGTACACGATGAGCCGTCTTTTCGACGTCTTACAAGAAACAGCCGAATCAGTGAAGCCTTTTCGAGCAGCTGTTCATGAATATTATCCAGTATTGCCCATTTGAACAAAGTTATTGAGGTATTGGTTTATCGACTTTCGGATTTACTACATTAGAGTGAAGCAGACGGCTACAATATCGAAAATCAAGAGATGCGCGAGCATCTAATTCCCATCGCTTCACAAATGAATCTTAACATAGAACACATCCAAAAACATATTTTTACAGAAACAGCTTCTCGGAAATGTTAGGCAAGACCAGGTGAACAGATTGCGGAGGTTTGGAAGGAAGCGAAAGGAGAGAAAGGAGACCGAAAGGACGAAGGACCACAGGGAAGGAAAACGAAAAAGTGTTAATCAAATTAGAATGAAAGTGTTATGAATCAGGGGCAGAATTTATTCGAGATGTGGTCACTGTTTTTGTCTACACTGATAGCATTTCCAGCGCTGGTCACAGTTGAGAATGTTTATTACTATACCGATACCCACTTGTATGAGGAAAAATCTTCTTATCCTTATCCTATACTCCTAGTATAGTTGGCCTCCTCCAATTCTCGTCTTCGTCTATCATTCCATTCTTCTACACCTGAACCAGCCTTCCCTTATTATCCCCAGTGTATATAAGTAGGAATGAATTTGAAGCTGAGTGACCATACACCACACTAAGAGCATTTATTTAGCACAACGCTGGACACTTAATCACGTTGCGGGTCTTGCTGGCGCTCACGCGACCGGGTGCGTGAGCTCCTCGCGTTGGAGCGGACACAGTAGCAGCGGACGCTTTCGTCGCTCCACATCTCCTCCTGCGGAAGGAATCAAAACCCTTCGCACCGGGGGCCTTCGGGTATTCTTCCCCGCCCTCGGCGTCGGTCCCTTCAGTGGTCCTTCAGTGGTCCGCGGCATCAGGATCACCGGAATGTATACGGCTTGTTGTCGCGGTTGTGACGATACCACAACCTGTGGCAACGAAGCAATTTGGGCATAGATTCCTTGCTACGGGGCAGCGCCGACAGTAGACGTGCTTGCCAAAGTGACATCGTGGCCACTGGAGTCACGAATACTGGCTGGTTGGCCATGGTTTACTGTGACTGTGCTGGAGATTCTGGCAGTGTAGATAAAGGTAGGAGCAGCATGACTAAATGTTACTCACTCCACCAGCTTTCATACCCGCTACATTCGAATAAATTCTGCTTCCTGATTCTTTTCACTCTCATTCTAATGTGATTAACACGTCTCTGCTTTTCTTCTCTTTCTTGTGGTCAAATCTTGAGCACAACTTCACTATAGTGTTAGGAAAGAAAAGAGTTATTCAAGGACGTCTCCTCGAAGACTTCCGAGCTCACACGCCAGCAAAGAATCATACAGGCAATCATCAACAAACTTCCAAACTTGCTGTGCAAAGAAGACGTAAAGGAAGATTTGAAAGGGAAAGAGCAGCAGCTAAGGCCAAAGCCGTCAAGAGTGGGAAGAGCATCTGCAAAGCCTGCCGGGGATTCTTCAATCAGAAAACCAAGATGACTTCTATTCGTCGTCCCGACGAAACAGTTACTGCATTGCGAAGGGCAATGGAGGAGGTCAGGGAGTCCATCCCCTAAATTTTCGTCTCTGGGCAAGTACCGGTTGCTTTTGGCCAGCGATGTCTACCGTATGCCCCACGTAAAGTCGCTACGTGAACTCGCCACCAACAGCTGGAGAACCGGAGAACCTGATCTCTCAATTAATCGTAATCCTTTGGGGTGTAGTGGTCGTGATCCAAGAGCGTTCAGTCAACAAGTTTCGTTTTTCTTACAAGGTACCATTGTGGTGATAACTTTCATTAGTCCCTGACCCTGTTATTGTCATTTTTCTCTACTAGCTCTACCGTCCCCTCTCACCATCTAAACTCTATCGTGAATACGAGACAGAAAGGCACCTGGATGGCTCATCTCTCAGAGATAGTTTGTCACCTTTTAGGTTTTACTGTTTTTATTTTCTGACATCTCTTGTCTGCCACCTAGTCATATTCTCCATCACATAGTAGTGCGGCAATGTTCCAATGCTAACACGGAAAAAAAGAACTGATCCAATTGCTGCTGCAGATCAGTGCCAGGGGCGCCTATCAGCCCTTACCAGTTGTCATCACTCTCTCTCATCAATCATCTACGAGTCCCACCACACCCTACACCACATACCGAACACTCGAGGGTCTGCTGTTGGCGCAGGTTTAAAGACTCATCATACTCTACCACCTGTTATCACTCCCTGTCGTCTACCATCAGTGTTTTTAAAACTTGCCCTTGTACCCCTTATGAATTTGATTGCTCCGAAAAGCTGGCGCTCAGGCCAATAATGTATAGTAGGATCTTCTGTCTACAACAAATTCGTTTTAGAGGTAACCCAATCAAGGAGGCTACAGGAAAGCTGCCTGTCAGACTGATTTCGCCTTTCGTATGGTGAATCAACTAAAATTATGGAGTCAGCAGACAATTTGAATTTATTCAAGTCTCATAGACCCACTCACGTGAAAACAGACTTGGCAGGCTTCTTGTGGTAGGAATAGGGGACAATTCGCATAGAACCTTTTTTTAGGGTAACGGAGAATTGCCATGAACACTGATCTTACTCACTTCTACTGTTATGTTCTCACTGCCTCGTCCTAAGAATGTTCTCAAAAAATTTCGGCTTTAATTGGTCGACCGAAATGGTATCATGGACTAACATCCACAAAGCATGCTTTTCTGAGAAAATGAAGGGAATATGTTCTCACCTCAAACAAATCAAGGCTTTCCTGTATGCTGGCCTTTGCAATTCAATAGTAATTACAAAACGTGAGTGGCAAAAAATTGAAGCGAGATTAATGGAAACTTTGCAAGTAAGTGAAATGAGAGGAATGTGGGATTGAGTGGTTTGTCTACGTCCCCATTTGCCTTTTCAATATAATACCGTCTTATGATTTCAGTACAGTCCAGCGTACTTAAAAAAGACAGCAGTTGCCAACTCGCTAGTTTTTTCGGTTTACTTGCGAATTTGAAAGTATGAAAGGCATGATCTGAGAGATTCCCGATTAATAGACGACGACATACTCTTCTGAACACTTTCTCTTCATACCTGCCCGGGAAAGTATCAAAGTCTCGGGGCATTAACCAAGCCCGACTGAGGGATGCGCCCACGCCTTCGACTTCCATAATCGTACTAGTGGTGTATTGAATGCGTATACGACCTATACAATGAGTTGCGATGGCCAATCGAGGATAGAGGATTCGAACTCGTGACCATGCGTGCATGAAGTGCACCATCCGCCCCTACACCACCTTCGTCTAAAGGGGAACTTTCGTTTTATGGTAAAGATGAGAGGTTCAGTGCGGTACAGTGGGGGAGGAACTGCTTATTTGGCTAGGACAGCTAATTTTTTGCCACATCTTACTTTGTCTTGGACTTTTTTGGTTTGCTGTCATTTCGCAGTGCACCATGCAAAAGTCTCGCAATGATGGCAAGTTGTGGGGAAATTTTCAACCTCTTTGGGATACGAGCCCACAATTGTTATCTCCGTGCGCTTTGTTCCTTACACTACCGAGATCCCGCTTTCCCTCTACTTTTTGAGTAGAATTCGAATCCTCTCTAGAGCTTGAATTTTTGGCCAACTCACCGTCTTTGTGAAACATCATACCATTTGGCATGATCCCTTCATCAGGACTCGAGCCATCAGCAGTTTTCATACAAGCGATAGTACGATGTAGAAAAGAAGCAAGAAAGTGTTGGAGATATTCGCTGTTTCTGAATATTTAAATTTCACTTGCAACTGTGATTGTCTCAGTGTTACTTACACTCCAGGCTTGACACTTCCGCTAATGCAGCCTTATTTACGACATTTTAACTACCAGTCGGCTCCTACTACCGGGCTTTGCAAGCGGCGACAGGATCTGAGGGGTTATAGATGGGTGGAGTAAACATATCGTCATGTCGGAAATCCTGCGACGACGTGAATGAATGGTGTTTATTTTGTGACTATTCAACTTTTCCCCCTGCCTTTGCAGTACGATTAGGAAGAACCCTCCAATTCATCACTATAGTGCTGTTCTACCCCTCCTATTATTCGCTGTTGTCATTAATTGTTCGTATTCATGACCCTTTCCCAGCCATTCTTGGTGCTGACTTCACTACCTTTAGAGCAGTCTGCGTTTGTTCACCCATACTGATCACGCCTCAAAATGATGTGTGCTTCTTCACAAATCCTATGACCAAAACTCTGCTGTGTTACTGAACCCCATCCTAGGGTTTCCAGCAATAACTTGCTTTACGATGGTGTTGTGTATAGAGAGACGTCTGCAAATATCGTACCATCACACTGTCCAAGGAGGGTGATCAACTGAATGATTCAGTCTGTCCTTGTACAGCGCAAACACATACATATCTCCTTGCCGACCCAAACATCATTTTGAGGCGTGACATGAGGCATTACTACTCCTCCTCAGACCACGTGATTCCTATTCTTTCTCAGCTGATTCTCAGCTGCTTTGTCGCCACACTAAACAATTGCACTTCCGGAGGATTATAGGCTCAGAATTATAGTGTACGAGGACGGAGGAGTGCGGCATGTAGGCATGAAGCAGCTGAGACTTCATGCTCCCACTAGGGCCCAACTCTTTCGTCAACAAACGCCTTCAGCACTGTGTCAGTGGTGTGGTGGCCCAACGTGATGTTATAGGCTGTTGTCGAGTATTGCTGAAGAACGTTGATTTATCGTTGTGTGCCTGAATGTCAGCTGCTCGCTAATCCACACGTATTTCGAGACGTTCCGAGACCGCTCGACTCTCACCTCAGGCCATATGGCTGTGTTCTCACCTTTCTCATTCACTTATTCGCTTTTTCCAGCCCACAGCCTTGACACTCTAGTAGATACGTCTGCTCATGTGCGCTTGTTTTTGATAGCGCTGCTTTGATCGAGCTTGATTGTGATCACTTTTTCATTATTAGGGCATCTACGCATGGTAAGAATGTTTAGGGCCTGGTCAGCATTATGAGCATTTTATTGGCTTTGCTTTCCTTCACTGAGGAGTCTATCGGTACGGCAGAAACTTGAAAGATCGAGAGAATATGTGGCTGTTGTATTGAAACAACCTTAACCTGGCCGCGACACCTCAGGCATTTATTATCCGTGTTCTTCCTCGTCACGTCATGACTGGGTGGACAGTAATCTCAAGTAGGGTCGACAAATTGATGTTTGTGCGGATAAAAGGGGGGCATTGGCTTGTTTCCTTACTTTATTAATGGCGATTCTGCGTATGCGTATGCTTTGATGATATCATCTGGNATCGAGAGAATATGTGGCTGTTGTATTGAAACAACCTTGACCCTGGCCGCGACACCCCAGGCATTTATTATCCGTATTCTTGCTCCTCATGA